ATTTGAACCCACGCAGACCGGCATGTCTAGCGGATCTTAAGTCCGCCCCCGAATTCGGACTATTGTACAAACTGTGCAGAAAATATACTTTTGTCAAACGTGAGCTTGTACTGACATATAAACTTGACTGACTCTTAATGTTCGATCATCCTTTGGCTATGAGAAGTACATGAAGGCCATCTTGAAGTTGATGGACAAAACAAAAAAAACACTTCGGGGCACGAGCAGTCGTCGTTAAGCGTCACTTTAACCTTGATTAAGGGTAGTACTGACGTTTGTCTTATTTGGCCACAATATTGAGACGACAATCTTGGTGGGGTTTTCTTACCATCTCTAACTGCATACTGACTTCGATCGTCGACATGTACATTGCAATGTCTCCGTCGTCAGGCAGAACCTGGAGCAATTCTTCCGGGCTGAGCTTCAAGCACAAATGATTGAGAATGCTGGTCAATGTTGACCTTCCACAAAGACGATTACCACTTGCTGTCTGTAGAAAAGTCACAGAAGTCAGTCAGATGTTAAAATCTCGTGGGCGCATGCATCACGCGTACCTCAGTACTGTTCTTTGACATCGAAGACAGTATGCTAATTAAAAAGCGCCAATCATCTAGCGTGACGCAATAGCTTTCACTATATGACAAAATCAAGTCCTTAAAGCCAGCGCGTTGAGCGATGAGTTTTAATCCATCAACCGTTCTACACACATACACAAAACGATATGATTAAGTGGTTTAAAGACCAAGCGACAACAACAATCATGCCTGGCCACGCGAGGTAACGTTAATATAACGACGAGTGCGTCTAGATCGTTTTCAAGCTTCCACAGCCTCTGATCAATATTCTTGACACCGACGTCTTCATAATCCATAAGCAGATCCTGAGGGCACACTAAGTCCTTTTGATGCAGCAACCCAATAGTATAATCAAAAAGATATTGAAGAACTTTGCGTAATCTTGGGCTCTCTGGCAAACAGCGCTTCTCTAAGTAATCTTGCACCCAATGGGGAAGTTTATAGGGAGCAATTTCCGTAATGATTGGTTCGAGTAAATCACACAATCTCGCCTCCACTCGTTCTTCCTCATCATGATTTTGTGAGCTTTGAAAATACGAACTCAGCTTAACACACAGACGTGTCAATGCCTCCGCCACTGTCGCCTTCGCTCTATGCAAATCCTCTTCGTTGTCTTGAATCTTCTCCTTTTCCGACAACTTTTCGAGCATCGGAAACATCTGACTCACAAATACCAGGAAGCGAAGCACAAAGATTTGATCATGTTCAAAATATTCAAATAATCGATATCTGTCGACTGAGCCACTCGATGCAAATTTCATAACAGTTGGCATTGCAGCGTCGCCAATTGAATTCAAGCAAAATAGCAGTGTGGAACGAACAGATTCTTGACGGCTAATCGCGATGCTGAAAACTCGCTCTAGAATGTCCAAATATTTCAAAGGAGCCATTTTTTGCAAGGCCTTTGTCAACTTTGAGCTTGAACAATGTCGATTACCACTAGGTTGTCTCTTGATAGTTGGTGAAATTTCTTGAACCAAAAGGTCTGGATGTTTCAACGCTACTTGTATTAAAGCATCTTCGTGATTCTTTAACAAATCAGCAACCAAAGCCAACATCGAGGATTCTGAACATTGCTTGATGAAATCTTCTCTAGAGGTTCCGCTAGATTTTGTAAAAGTATCCCAATTTTCAGCTGCAAACGTATTTGCGCGCAGCACAAGTACCAATCTAGCAGTTTTGACGAGAACGCTGTTACTCGAAGATTCGTTTAATTTGTCGAGTGCAAATACAATGTCTTCTAGTGTCCATTTGAGCGTCGAGTTGACGATTAGATGAGACAGTTGTTCAGGAAAATATTCGCCATAGTGTTCTAACACGATTCTTGTGAACTTTGTATCCTCTGAAGTTTCATCTTGCGGTTGTTGAGGAGAATAAATATCAGCAAGAGAATTTTGAGGTGGAAAAACAAATGCTTCAAGATATTTTCCTGTCGCTTGAATAACCTCAGATCGGTCCACCGTGCCAACAATACTCTGAAGACGCTGCAATACTTCCACTGATGAAATGTTGGAGGCCACAAATAGCAGTGCAGCACGCTCTAAGTTGCGATGATCTTTCGACATATACATAGCTGCCAACTCTGCGGCGCAATCTCCAGCAAGATGATCGTACAAGTTCGTTTCAAGTTCAAGTGCCAACATCTCCTTTTGGTCCGATATCGCTCCTTTCAATTCATTTTGGACGGCTCCATTACTCGCGGCAAGACGAAGCAAATCAGAGCCCACATCAGCTCGGTAGCGGTACAGCGAGAATAAACTCAACAGCAAGTCTATCTGAAATGGCATCATTTCGCCCTTGGTGGACAGGAGGCCTTGACGAACATACGAAAAAATTGACGATGGCGGACTTTGCTGTAATATTATGATTTTCCGCTGCGATGGGTCTTGCTCATAGTCAATTGGTGAACGCATCTCAAATTCGGCGTCTGGAAGACACTCTGCTGCAGCCAAACTAGCCATACGAATCATATCGATGGGCTTTTCGAATGCTGGTGTTTGGATCTGCGGCAGTAAGACTACATACGAGTCAAGCGCAGCAAGTTGTGATACTGGATATGGTATAGGCTGCGTGCAAAGTAATTGTGGCTGCGAAGGCTGAGGCACGAGGGACTTGCTCAATGCTCGACTGGCTGCCACATAATGGCAAGGACTCCAGATAGACCACACTTGCAGTCCTGATAGCGTCGCCACGAACAGAAACGAGCTATTTGCCGTAATGCTTGTGACAGCACATGTAAAGTGGTAATGCATGACCACTCGTCCAGATTCTGCCGAAATTTCGGCTTCGCTATCGTTCTCGTCATCACTCATCTCAACGCTGGCAAATGAATCCCGTCGTTGTCCAGTAAAGACTCGAGCTACTTTGATCGGCTTATGCATGCCTCTAGATCTAGTCCGCTCGCCTTTACCAAACACCTTCTTCGTCATCTTCTTTCGAGTCGAATCGACTTGCTCTGACAAGAAGTAATACAAAAACGCGTGTTCGTCCGTTGCAACAAGCAAACGTGTGTAGCTCCTCGTTTCAACGCACAAGCGATTGTCGATCGTCTCAGGAAGGAACTTAATTGACCGAATACTGTGATTCGGTGGTAAAAAACGCTGTAGCAGCACACTTACATCGTCCTCTCCAATATAGTACGACATGGCTTGATTTGTTCGAATATCCTGGCTTTTAACCAAACCTGCTAAATTCCATACTTCCTGTTGTGCTTCGTTACGTCCGAGCACCATTGGAATCTGCTCTTGCTCATCAAAAATTCGTTGCTCCTCTTGTTCACGTCTAGTCTCGGCTTCCACTGTATTGTAGACTGAACATGATACTGGAACCTCGACAAACATACTTAAATCTTCAGAGCTTGAGATATTGACACAATCTGCTGAGTCCACAGGTACATCATCTATGTCTTCACGTATACTACTCCACTCTTCCAACGTCTCGGTTTTGTCCAGTCCCGTGTCGACTTGAAGCGCTTCATTGTTCTCGTTACGGCTTTGAACGTGAATCTCCATCACTCGAACTTCTGTTGGTGAAGCGAAAGCAATGTAGACGCCATGAATAGCCACGAACTCAACCTGAAAGAATGCGTGTTGCTGAGCCATGTCCACCTTTAACTCCATGACGTGCTCAAAAAAACCGTGACTGCACTGCCACATATTCAGTACTGTGCCCATTGCCACTACGACGCGACCTGTAAAGCTGCAGACAGCCACACAGTCTGCTTTGCGATTTGAGGTCGGGCTTTCTAACGCGCCCAGTGGCAGTGAGTATCCGCGTACCATTTCACGTTCTCGCCAGTCGTGGTAAACGCACAAGAATGTCTCGACATCTTCACCATCATCATCGTCAGACTTAATATCGCTTTCAAGTGTCACCAAACTGTCGGAGAAGCTTGTGTAGTGTAACGTGTATATACGGGTGTGGATGGAGGCAAATTCGTGTAGCAACACCGAACACGAGGCAGCATACACGCGGATCAAACCCTCACGTCCACTCGCAACGGCAAATGTAGCATCGGTTGTCGTACGTAAAGCACTGGTCAGTGTAAATGTATTGTCCGTAGGTGTCCCTAGCGCCAGCGACCGCACGAAAAGTGACTCCATCTTGAGCGAAATGTGACCAGAGACGATAGTGTGCAACACACCAACATGTTAATTATCGATGATAGAGAGCGTTACTGAACGTTTTCAAAGTGCACAGTGGTCAAGTCATGACGTTTTGTGCTGCACTTTTACTGATCTCATGCATCGCCAGCTGATATGAATTCGACATCTCGAAGCTTTGACGTCACGTCGAAGAACCGTAGCGCTCGAGTGTCTCAACGTCCAATAACTTGTCGAACCCTATTTTATTTTATACTTTTCAGATTAGGAAAAAAATGTTAGTTCACTATGATTTGCTTTATATATCAGTCGCTAAAAAATTAAATTGAGCTTTACTTTCACAAATACGACAGTGGTACAATAATTCAAGTCTAATTTGGTCACGAATACAATGAAATAGTTCCATGAGTGATTGCTTCAGACCTCCGTAATTACATTCTTGCGAGCTCACATCTCGAAATGCTTTGCCTATACTCTGGATTCTTCTCCGCACATGACATCATGTTCAACTTAATGAAAGGGCTCTACAGATACTAGGTGTCTCTCTCAAAAAAAAGGCAGAGATACATACGCTCCAATTTAACAAGAACAGGTTTTGAGCACACATCACCCAGCATGCCAGATAAAAATCTAGTTGTTTTGATATGAGCCCGCATATTTCAAATCACAAAGTCATCACAGCGGTATATTTTATAAAATACTGCTATTCACCTTTCTTTGCGTCAGCCCATTTCCATGTCAGCCCATGCTGTAAAAGTTATGGTCTATAGGATTAAAAATGCACTAGCAAAAGTCGCGGATAAAAATTAAGCACTTTGGTCGTTCTGTTTTTAAAAATACCATCAAGAGCACTCATCCTAACAATTTTTATCGTATGTTGCTCGGGAATCTCTCAATGCTGTCACAAACCTGGCGCATTACACTCGTACCGCTCTCTACTTCTGTACAACATCAAAGAGCCGTTAAGGAAAGTCATTTACATTTTTCAGGTCCAGATGGAAAGAGAGCCAGCGACAAGAGTCGGAATTCCGACTAAGTAGTGAAGAGTATTGTGCATTTAGGCTGAGAATGATAAAATTCCGACTTTCTACTCATGTCTGATGATACTGAAGTTCTTTCGCTCACACCTCTGACAACGAGTTCAACGTTATAAAGTCATTTCCAAAGCCTTCTATGAGTCACACTTATGTTGGAGATAAAGAGCCTTTTTTATGCCGTAAAACTCAATTTTTTCTAGAGACGACTAGAGATAAGGGGCGGTGTGATAAAAGAGTTAAACCATTTCATTTGAGCTACCTGAGATACGGTTGCATACTTTGGATGTTGGTTTCTAAGTTTTTTGTTGAAAGTGGACGGGCTGAACCCTTGGAGCACTGTCTCGCTGCTTGTCAAACACTTCTAACGGGTATATCTTGGACATACGTCAGCCATGGCGACAGTTCAGAATGGTACAATTAATAAAGTATTGCCGGGGCATTCTAAGAAACGCTCCCAAGTTGCCATTTCAAGTTTTAACAACTACTGCATATATCCACTATCGATAACAAAGAATGGTGAACACTTGCTTTACTGAAAATGCGGACCGTTACTCGTTGCCACTCGCTCTTATCAAGAAAAATACGCCCCTGCTGTCAGCACTAGCCAGACGTGCTCAGTTTGCTACCTGTGCATCGATGACCAAGAGCTTTATTACTAAGGCGTTTCCGTCACCTAACAAGAAGTTGTGGGGATCGCACAGCAGTCCAATCGGCGTAGACGATCCCACGGACGTAAATATGGGCTCGAATGACCAGAGCAGCGATGCAGTAAGAGGTGACATATGCGAGATTATCGTAGTGGCGATTCAGAAGGTCACCAGTGCAGCCTCTGCTGCTGGTGATGACGCCAACACACTAAGTCCAAGCCAACGACAAGGGTCGTCGATATGGAGCTCAACAAAGTGGTCCAATGAGCGATCCCAGCTGCCAGAACGCATCATTTGCACTGTTAGCAGTGCTACAACAACTAAAGTCTCTGCACATTCTGAACGCATTGGCAACAATTTTATTTTTGATGAAAAGTTTGTGTTCGAGCGACGAGAAAATGACGCGCAATATCGAAACGTGACTATAGACGTGTCTAGCGCTGTGCCATATTTCGGTAGGAAACGCCGCCTCGGCCAGATCGAAGTGGACCTAGAAACAACATTTGCCACGCAGTCCTCAGGCCCAGTTTCTAAGCGCAGCACGATGAAAACTGCTAACGGGTCGGAATCGGACATAGAAATTCACTATGTGCTTCATCGTCTTGAGGTGCCAAACGCAACCGCTGCTGCCGCCTCTCGCGTGCTCACGCGGTCGAGTACCAGCCTTAACGATGATGACGATATGGATGCCTGTGGACAAATCTTTCCAGATTTATGGTATCTGTGTTAGTCTATAATTTAAAAATCTGTGGCGGCGAGTAATTAAGTTAGTAGATGACGTAGGCTTCAAGAAAATGAATCAGATTTTAAATGATGCTGTGACATTGTCCCCAATAAGCTTGAAAAGTCTTTACTGGTCACTTATCAAAGTTCAAATCGAAGCAAACATTTCTGATATCTTTTTATTGTTCTAGATTTTGCACCTTAAATTTAAATGACCAATATATTTGAAAATTGATGTTGACACACAGATATACATGCAATGTCAACAAGATTTCTTCCAGAAATTATTTATGACGTACTGTAACGGGGTTACACGTACAAAGTTACACGTACCCTGGTAACAGGGGGTATGTGCTACACAAGATGGGCATGGTGTGCCTGCACCCAAACAAGGATACGGTATGTGGCTAGGTAGCCAGTAGTTATGCATGTATTTAGATTTTACTATATATATTTCAAGGATTCTAAACATTTAAAATTAGGCGGCTTTGCCGCAGATAAAAAAAAAATAAAAAATCAGTTTTGAATTTTAAACGGAAAAGTTATGAGCCTTGGGTCAAGGCAATTATTACTCTTGGAGTAAGCGGATTGCGATCTGCTATCTCGTACTTGTTCTAAGTATAGAACGAAAGGTCGGTGACTTAAAATACGCTTCCTATAAGCGCAACGCTACGGAAGCCCCGCTGCACGTACGCCGCGACTCCTCCACGTCGTTCTGGTCACAATGTACGTTACATATTCTTTGTTTTGTATAAGTCTACTGGTCTTGTGTATGATGAACATTACACAGAATACATGTGGATATATATAGAAGGGAATAATATGACGTACTCACCTGAACCATTTCTTGCTAACATAGAGCGCATTTACGCGGCACAGAAGTGCTACTACCGGCGCACATGCGACGCTCGCTTGTCATATCAAAGAGCTACGACGATAAAAATAGAGACCAAACTCGACGGTAAAGCCGAAACTAAAACCAAATTTATTGATGACAAGGCCGAACCTAATATCGAAGTTAATGTTTTTTTTTCAATTTACGAAGTCATCCCAGATGCTATCATGCTTCTTTGGAGTCACAAAACTTGATATTCGTGCATACCTTTTACAGTTCTTCACTTTCCGATTAGCAATGCAGCTATAAAGCGAATAAGTTCTGGAAGAGCTTTCGCTGCCTGAGCGGTAAAGAATGGATTCAGAAATCTTTGACTTGACCCCCATTCTCGATTGAGAAGACAAAAGTTTGACTTCAAACATTTTTTTTCGGTGTCGGATTAACAATCTTGATGATCCCACCCAGCTCTTCGGGCCTCTTAGCGAACGTTTGTTCGCCTTGAGAAAAAAAAGAGATGGGGCGTCTGCTTCCCCGAGTCAGTGCTGATTTGACTTTCGATAACGACCATTTCAACCTTATTTAGCAGCAACAGAAAAAAAGTTTTATTATCACACTATTAACCGAAATTAGTAGTTTGCAATATAACAATTTTCATTATGCTTAAACAAAATAAATCAGTGGCCAACAAGCTACAAGTTCTGATCGTTGTAGCGTTGTTTCTAGCATTACTGCAAAGGCTCTCTTTGCTGCAGAACACATGGCATCATCAGCCTTCTAGGGCCTGATAATGTCCTACGTGTTCGAGTAGCCACTCCACCAAGTTCTGTAGAAATGTTGATGGATCAACTGCTTTGCTTCACGATGACGAGTCGATCAATCTTCGAGACCGACAATCGTCTCAACTAAACAACAGCACTCTCCGCAAGTTCAATAGCAAAAGTGGAGCTGAACGTGAAAACGATTAAACGAAATGAAAGTGGATTAAGAAAAATTGAGGCATTGCAGCAGCGTTGCTCGATGCTTAAAGATCGCTGCAAGAGCCTTTCGAACCTTATTACCGAGAAAACTCGAAATTTGCCGATCTGTCAGATATTTCCCCAATGATCGGCTTTGGAGTCCTGTTTTAAATCCGGTTTCAACTAGTTCACGGTGAACTTGTTCAACTACGGACGAATGACAAGTGTTTTGGAGCTAGCTTACTAACACCTGTAGCGCTCTGTTGATGAGACAGGCTCTAATCCCAGGGTACTTGATTGTGAGCCATTTTTGTCTCCAGCATTGAAATCAAATCAGTAAAGGGGCCTGTGCTTTTAGAAGATTATTCAGCGTTTGAGTTCTTTTCTCTTCATGTTTGAGTGAAGAAATTACGTGGTTGACTGGATTATCTATTAAAGGTAGAGTACGATCGGTAGACCAGTTGGAAGATACCCACATAAAAATGTAAGATGTCGACACATCCATGTAGAATGATGGCTTGGGTATAAGCATCACCTATGGATAGTAACACCTGAATCGGTTCAAACAATCCTATTTAAAGCTTTCTGCTTCCCACTTAAGACACTACATATTCAGGAAGATTTGTCGCGCTAAGAAGTAAAAGATCATTGAACTAATACACTTTCTTGCTCTTCCTCTGCTTTTATCTGCTTTTTTACAGATCATGCGTCTGTTTGATTGCGACTCAAACAAACCATGCAACGGCTCTTTTTTCACGATAAAATGGCTAGTAATCTGTTCTTCAGGCCTTTAATGACTTTCAATGTTCTCATTGCGTCGAAATTTGCTCTCAACTCTGTGACCGCATTTAGGTCTGACTCTGGCACCGTAGCTATTGCCCCTCCCCCACCAAAGGTAGAGACCTCGTCTATTATGGGAGCAGGTACTCTAGGATGATTACTATAGCTCGGAAAAAATACGACCAATGACCTGTCAAGACATCTGTAGATTATATAACGCACACTCCGTGAGAATAAAATTCTCCCTTTAGCCTTTAAACGACGCAGCGTAACTGCACAGCACACACACTAAGCCTCGAATCACAAATTACCATTTGACCCTCCATTTCGAGATGTGTCGCTGTTGGCTCGGGCATCTTGGTGCGCAATAGTCCACACGGTACATGCCCAAATTTTGACGTAAACGGGAACCACGGTCAGGCACGATCTCAACAGATTAAAAGTCATGCAAATGGTAAACAACATCGACAGAGTGTGTTTTCTTGGCAGAGTATTTTCTCCAAAACAGGCGCAAGAATAACAATTTTGTTAATTGGATTACCATTGCGTCCAGAGTAAAATTTAAATGTTCTACTCTCTGGCAAATCTCGCAAGTTTTAGCATACTTGTACACTCATTTCTACATCCGTCAACAGTAATAATTTCGAGAAACACTTAAAAACATTTTCCACGTCAAAGATGGCGACCTGAAAGGCTATCATGAAACTCATAAAGGAATTTAAGACGCAAACCTTCGTCGTAAGATACAATAACACTGCATCGTCTCCGCCTTGTCGACATAATGCATGCATGTCTTTGGTCCTGGTTTTTTATTTATCGTCCGGAATTTCTAATAACGCACTGCTAAGATGTCTGCCTTGCTTGGCTTGTAGTGCACAACAAAGGTGTACTCTGCAAGAAAAGAAAATCATCGATCGATTCTCTGTGATAAATGAGGAGTCTATACTGCCTTATGCATCGAGGCATGATTTGCATAGATCAAACATCCCACGATTCAAGCAGGTACACCCAAAAATTAGCCAAAGAAAACTTCGTCGCTGGAAGCTATATGTCATGAACAGTATAGTTTTGTTCCGCAAGTTAAAGTTGTCACGAGTGCTTTAAACATTTGGAGCGATTCACTCTTGGCCCCTAACATCGTGTTGCAACAACTAATAGCATAATTTGCTACATCGCAGACCACATGGAAAGACTTGTCGTGGTTATATTCACAAGGACAGGAGCTTCTCGCAAGCTCTTTATCAATTTGTCAAATACCACCTGCTGATCTTTTGACCACTCCCGCTGCTCAAAACACCTAAGCTTCATATGCCTTTATGGGTACCGTAAGAATCCTCTTTTCCCGTTCTTCACTCAAGATGATTACGTGATCAGTGGGGTGATCTCACGCCTGCTTTCCAGACACGAAACAATTTCCCTTCTCCACGAAGAACCACGCATTTCCACAAAACGTTGCTTTGCCCCTGGGAATCGTAATCAAAAATTTGTTCAAGTTTCGCCTTCTCGCACAAATTAGGACGGTTACTCTGGCACTGTGAATCTGGAAACTTTGATACGTCAACTTCATAACGACGAGGCCAATTGACAAGATATTTTTGCCCGAGTACTCTTAGAAAGCAAAGTTACGATCTGCTCGACATACAAGAGCCTGACCGCCTGGTCAGTTTAATGCGTCTTTGATGCTTGGTGTACTGTAGCTTTGCCCGTCGATCCAAAGGCAAATTTGCACATTTGTTGATTTTTGGCCTCGCCTCCGATCCATAATACTACAGCTGAATCACGCATCGATACCAGATAGTGAGCTAGAGAAAAACGTTTAAGTACTAGACAAGAAGACGATGGCGGTGAAGGGGGACAAACGCGACGCTTTTCTATGTGGATTTGTCATCGGTTTGAAGACTATGGTGCAAACCAGCGCTGAACTTGGGTTGCTCCGATTGACTTCTTTTTGGTAAAAGCTGGTGTCAAGATACGATCTTGTTGAAGAAGTGTGCTTGTTGGTCGGTAGTGAGTAGCTTCACCCAATGATAGAAGGCGCCACCGCAGCGCATGTGGTCGAGCACCTGGCACATATTGTCCATGTTGGCCTGGTTGCAGCGGGGCTGCCGTAGTTAGCGCTTGGGGAAGCGTTATCTGGGTCACCGACCTTCCGTTCTATACTTCGAACAAGTACGAGCTAGCGGATCGCAATCCGCTTACTTCAAGAGTAATTATTGCCTTCCCAAGGCTAATTGACTCTTCGGCTTAAAATCCATAACTGATTTTTATTTTTTTTATCCTTATTCTAAAAGTTTAGATTTATCTAAATATACTAACTATATATAGTAAAATCTAAAAACATGCATAGCTACTGGCTACATACCGTATTCTTGGGTGCAGTCACACCGTGCACATCTCGTTTGACACACACCCCTGTTACTAGGGTACGTGTAACCCCGTTACACCCTGCCCCATTAAGATTGAGAACATTTACAGTTCCGATCGATTATTGCCTCAACGAGGCTCG